CTGTTCTCCAGAGCTGGGGGCGCTGGGGCCACGCCCCTCACAAGTCAACGCTGAGGAACTCTTTGGTTCTGCAGGGCAATTTCCACTGGTCAGAAACCACCTCTCCCCTCCCCCACCACTTACTGTACCTGGATTCTTTCATAAAGATTTGACATCGAAGGTCATGAATGTACATGGTGCCGCAGTGTTAGCCAGTTGCCTGCCCCTCAGGAGTGTAACACTGCACGGGGCAGGAAAGAGAAAGGAGACTCTCCGCAGACCAGAGCTAACTGTATTCTTACGCTACTCAAAAGCGGGTCTACAACCAGGTACTTTTACAAACGAACACATCAGGAGACCAGGGTAAGTCTCCCTGGTTATTCTCCTGTATATTTTACCTCTCTGAGACAGACATGGTATCACCCCCCCAAACAGCCAGGGTGATCTGTGCAGACTACAATAATATTTATCCCCTAGACTTTCAGGAGCCTAGAAGACTAAAAAAGTCAATATATATTCTACAGTACATCCTTAAAGATATTCAGCACAAATCCGGATCTGAAACCCGCAGCTGCTCACAAACGAGAGCTATGTAAGCTGCTCGTCTCAGACAAAGAGGATCTGGAGGAGAAAGCTACAAATGGCTCAACAGATTGCTGGAAAAAACTGATTTGCAAGTCAACAACTGGCAACTAGGTGAATGTGGAAAGATCTGAAATGCTACATACCTCAGGAAGCATTTCATTCTAGTCACCTGAACACCTAAACCTCCTCGGAGGATTTTGCATTCTCAAATAATCTTCTGTTCCAACTTGCAGCCTGCAAGAAAAGCTCATCATTCTAAAATGTAGCAATATACTGAGTGAAAAATTAGCCTGGCTATTAAATTCTACTTCATTGATATATGTTAATGAAAATGACCACGATTCCACTCAGCCGTGTTCTCTATTTCTAACCTAAACTTTCATCAAAATTAAACCAGACCGGTTTGCAAGCAGCAAAGATCAAGTGAAACAGTTGTGTCTGACGAGCAATTCGTCAGAGCACACACAATCAGCGGAACACGGCTTCTCTGAAAGGGAACATGAAAACAAAACCAAACATGACTGATCAATGCAGCAGACATGCAGGGTCTGCCAAGTAACAGCAAAACCATATTGCTGGTGATTAAATAGGTCTACAGAAGATATATTACGATTCTGAATATATTTTCAAGCAGACTAAAAATACCTCATCTATCGATTATTGACGTGTTATTTTTAGCTAAATGAAGTATTGGGAGGGTTTCCCCCTCGCTGTATAAAAATTGCACTTAAAATACGCTCAGCTTCAATTCTGTTTCAGCGTGTGTGGACCGTAGCTCGCTGGAGCCTGCCGGAGTCCGCATGGCAGTCCTTGCCTTCCAGCATCTCTAGCACGGCAGAAAGCTGCTGGGGAGCTCCCCGCTCTGGGTTTCAAGTCACTGCTTCACTTAGTGCAAGGGTTGGTTTATTTTTTGTAAGAAAACCTGAGCTTGAAATGTCTTTAAAAGGACCTGGACTTGATTCTGGCCCATTGCGACCTGACACAGCTCAGTCCTGCAAAGAAATGTCCCGCTGGACGCAGCTCCCTTGGAGAGACGCCGGCTCTGCGGGCGCCGAGTCGCGCTGTTCCCCTTCCAGTCTCGGGCTTTGCCTCAGACAGCCCTGCCTTCCATCCCTTCGGCACCGCGGCCTCCTCGGGGCTCCCCGTGCCGCAGACAAAAGTCTACTTGCCTCATGCCTGACTTCCGAGACACGGGGGTCGGCCTCCTGGAACCATGGCTTCTCCGGCTCATAAAATGTCGTCGTAATCCAGCAGCTTGGAATGCTGGCGAGTCTTCCAGAGGCGGTAAAGGCGGAAGTCAAAGTAAGTTTCAATCACCTGCTTCCCTAGGATGCAAAGCAAAGCACAGAGGTTACCCAGGGATGCCCCGAGCGGAGCAGCCGGAAGGATCCGTTCTGGCAGTTTGCTGGACGTGCACCGGAGTGTCTGGGAATCTCCCAGGGACGTTGCTGACACAGTCACTCTTGGGCCTTGCCCCTGTTCCAAGGGCTGCCTTGACAACCTCCAACACGGGTGACTATCTGCTTCACACGCAGCAGCGGAGAGCCCCGCCCACAGCCTGCCAGTGGGCGCCCCGGGCAGCCACAAGGCGAGAACTTGCTCTGCGCCCGTGTCCCGGCTTTTCTCGGCGTCTCTGCACAGGATGGCAGCGCTGGCGGGCACCACAGTGCAACTGCCCCTGGGAGCCCACGAGCCGGAATGGCCATAGGGAGGCGTTATGGGCCAAAGGCAGGTCCAGTCAGCGAGAGGCCCCTCTCCTCCACGCTGGCTGCAGCGAGGCTGGGGAGGTACAAGGCCAGTTCAGCTCCCCAGACCTGCCTTTTGCCCGGGGGAAAGCTCAGCAGAAGACACTTGCTATTTCACTCAGACAGTCACGTGAGAGAATCCCTGCAAGGGAGGCGGCCAATGTAGCATCGCCAAACTAGGGATGTCAAAGACTAGTCGGCAGGCTAGTCGCTCCCCTGCCTTGCTGCCTCTATCAGACAGAGGCAGCAAGGGGGGAAGAGGGAGGTACTTCAAAGCAGCAGCTCCGCACAACTGATCCTGGGCTCCATGCAGCGCTGCCCCTTTGAAATGCCGCCGTGGCGTTTCAAAGGGCAGGGCAGTGCCGCCCCGCCCTACCTACTGATCGAATAGTCCATGCAAAATGCATCGACTATTCAATTAGTGAATTACACGATACTTAACATCCTTACACCAAACCCTAGCTCCTCCAGCGTGCGAGAAACAAACAACCCTAGGTTCTAAAAAGCAAGAAGCGGGAAGAATTCTCTCCTGCATGGCTACTAAGAGCCATCGGAGACTCTGCATTAGGGGTTGCCAGGGATTACAGTGGGTTTGGTATTCCGATGTATCAAGATGAAAACATTTCAATGAATTCCCAAGCCCCCCACCCGCAGAGCCAAGAATTGCTCTGCCGACAGCACGTTCCACAGGGACTGCATGCAAAGGCACCGTCTTTCCTGCGGAATCGACGCGATTCACTGTCTGCACAAGGCCAAACCCTTGCTTGGCACAGACCGGGAAGGCGCTTCTAGCGAGTCACCCAGTACTTGGGATGTTTCAATTGGCTCGCCCCCGTCTGAATTCTGGAATGGCCCCGAACCACCACACCGCCATGGGCCCTGGGGCTGACCTGCACTGGCAGGAGGGGGGTGCCTGGAAGGCAAGGAGGGGTGGACCCAGAGGAACCCGCCATCTGCACCAAGGCGGAGGGATGTCGCAGCGACGTGGCTTTTGGGGCAGGGAGCTCAGGATGCGTCTTTGCGAAAGGGAGGCTGCAGCAGAAGTTACCTTGAGCTGAAAGCTCCAGCGGTGACTCGAAGACCATGCGATACGGATTCATTAGGGTTTTCAGACTCTGAAAGAGCTGCAATGAGAGGAGATGTCCGGGTCAGTGGCTGGCTCCAGAGGCACCCCAGGACTGACGGACGGGCCAGAGAAGGGGCAGGCAAGGTCTCAGCACTCTTAAGGGAGGCTGCAGCAGAAGTTACCTTGAGCTGAAAGCTCCAGCGGTGACTCGAAGACCATGCGATACGGATTCATTAGGGTTTTCAGACTCTGAAAGAGCTGCAATGAGAGGAGATGTCCGGGTCAGTGGCTGGCTCCAGAGGCACCCCAGGACTGACGGACGGGCCAGAGAAGGGGCAGGCAAGGTCTCAGCACTCTTCACGCCCCTGCCACTTGAACCTCGTGATGGCAGCAGCCCACGGCATAGCACACCACAGCAGCCCCGCTTTCCACTGCCTGCCCTCGCCAGCCCCTGCCTCCAGCGGACTCCTGCCCACCCCAGCCCCGGGCCTTGCCCTTTGGTTTGGCTTCTCGACCCCGACTCCAGCCGGCAGGGGACCCTGGCTCTGCGATCGCTGCTATAGGGAACCACTGGGAAAGGCCCCGTGATGCTCAGCACCTGTGCTGGCCAGAGGAGGCCGTGCACACGGCCACAGGCAGAACCTGCCGCTCTGGGCAGCTGAACGGCACCGAGATTTTCCAAGGGCTCTATGGGAGTTAGGTGCCCAGCTCACATTCACGCTAGCTCCCTTTGAAGCTCCCAGGTTCATCGGATCGCCCCTTCTGGATACTGGTAAGGACAAGAGGGGGAATAATTTGCTAGTCCGCAGCACTGCTGACAAGGACGCATGGTTGATACTGGACCACAGATGGAGCTGCAGCCACCCACATGATGCATTTGGGAAAAAAGAGCTACAATTCTGGGGTGTATTAGCCAGTATGTTGTATGTAAGCCAGGGTAGGGAACTGTCCTACCAGCACGGGGGGAACTCAGCCGGGTCCTGGGGCCGGTTCTGGGCACCTGCCCTAGCAGGAAAGGTTTCAAAAATCCTGGTCGTCTTTAGCCTTGAGACACGAAGGCTGCAGAGGGACCCTGACGGCTGCTGTGTGGAGAAGCGGGATTGACTGTTCGCCGCACCCAGCAAAGGCAGGACGAGAAGTGACAGGATCAGCGTGCAGCAGGGAGACGCCAGCAAGGCGAGCTACTGGGAAGAGCTCTCTCAAGAAGGCCAGCCGAGCGCTGCAACAGGCTTCCACAGGAGACTGACTGTCAGTCCCTCCTCTCAGGGCTGGGCTGGGGTTCTTAGGCCCTGCCTCAGCCTGGGGGCTGGACTGAGACTGTCTCGAGGTCCCTTCCAGCCCAACGTGTCTAGGATTCCAGGGTCTTTATGTGCGTTCCCATTCCCCGTGCCCGGCAAGGGGCTGTGTGTTGTCTGGCCCCCAGGCGGATCGTCCCTTCAAGGCACACACCAGCCCAGCTGCTCGCTCCATGAGGTGGGATGTGCAGCAGGACTGCAAAGCCGGCCCGTCCTTAGGGGAGGGGGCAGGGAAAAGAGCAACACGCCCTTGAATCGAATCTCCCTCCCAGCGGACCAGCCCAGGGAGAGCTCCTGGCCATACCCAGGCCTTACCTTCTCCCCATTGGGGTTCCCCAGAACGTAGCAGCCCATGATGTGAATGACATTTGGCTCAGGGTTGATTTTGCTCATCAATCGACTCAGACGCTTCCAGAAGCTGGAAGTTAATAGGAGGAAACAAAATGACAATTTAAAACCAGCCCCTCTGCAGAGGCACTGGACACTCCAGTCCAGGAGACCAGACTGGGACCTCTATGCAGGAGACTCAAGCCTCCATCTTGGAGCCCACCTGCAAGCGTCTCCAAGGGAACGCCCCCGGCTTGCCTGGTCCCTGCTGTTTAGCCTGCGTGCGCACGGGGGCGGTGCTGACGCTCTGCCCGACGGCACCATGGCGGGTGCCAGGCAGAGCTCGGCCGGTTGATCGTTGTAACTGATACTTGCCCAGATATCGCCATTTCCCCTCAGGGTAATTACCTGACCACCCAGCACAGCTGGGCTCATTGTCTCTCAAGACTGGTCCCAAACCTTGGAAATGTTACATCTGCAGAGGTGCCTGGGTTTTGAAACTCTCTTTTCTTTCACTTTTCCCCATTTCATTTCTTCTCTTCTCCCCTCCCCCCACGGCTGACACAAGCAGCCTTCGTGCTGTGAACACGGCACGGGAGCATGGTCCCTGCAGGCGCAAGGCCGCAGAACGCAGCTGTCGCGAGGAAACGCCCAGCCAGGCAACCCCAGGAGGCAGCGACAGATTGGGGGGAGCTGCAGCTAGTCTGCTTAGCAAAGGGAAGGTTCAGGGTGACTTGGTCACCGCCTAGCCAGCAACGCGGGGAGCAAACACCGACACGGGCTCACAGGCAAAGGTGTAACAAGATGCATGGCTGGATCCTGACTGGAAGGGAGGTGCAATGCCATCGCGAGAGGGATTAGCCACGGGACCATTCCCTGGGGTCATGGCTGATTCTCCATCATGGGCAATTTTTAATTCAAGTCAGATTTTTTTTCTGAAGTCTCCATGTCCAGTTCAAGCGGATTCATGCCGAGCCGTTCTCCGGCCTCTGTACACGGGAGGTCAGACGAGATCAGCCGATCTCAAACTCTGGGCCATGACCCCAGCGAATGGGCTCGCCAGGCTGGCCCAGGCCAAAGCCGAAGCGCAAGCCCCACCAACTGGGGCAGAAGCTAAAGCCAGACAGCTTCAGCCCTGGGCAATGGGGCTCAAGTTACAGGCTCCCTGCCTGGGACGGATGCGCTTGGCTCAGACTTTGGCCTCCCTCTCCCACAAGGTGCAGCGGGGCTGGGTGGGGAGCTTGGCTGTCAGAAGGAGGCTGTGGGGTGATAAAGTTTGAGGGCCCTGGGTCTCACAAAGGTCTCTTCTGGCCTTGGACTCTGGGAC